ACACCAACAGCCAAGCTGACAGAGGTTTGAACCCATAGCCATCTGGGAAGGTAGGTGTGGGGACTATAATGAGACCATCCTGGCAGTTCTCTCTTCACTCCAGATACGTTTATTTCCTATGAACGGGGCCAATCCTCAAACACTTCACAGGGGATTCTGATGTGGAGATGTGGATAGTGAAGGAGCTTTCTCCTGCCACCTTGTGCCTGCCCCGGGCCAAGACAGGAGAGTTCTCTGGCTCTTGGACCACTCTTCCCTCCATTCACTACAGCTTTTCACCAAACACTAATAGGGGACAAGGATCTATCCCTCCTCAATTCCCCTGCCCCTGTCACTTGCTTTCCAGACTAGATAAATGCAGATTTCTAGAAAAATGAACAATCGTCTTTTATTGGGGGCCTGAGGGCAAGTCATGTGCAAAGAGACACACAGAGTTTATAAATAGTCCTGCAGAGGTCAAATTTCTCTGCGTGGGGCCAGGCCCTGTGGCTCATGCCTGTAATCTCAGCATTTTGTGAGGCGAGGCCGAGGCTGGTGGATCACTTGAGGTCAGGAGTTCGAGACCAGCCTGGCCAACATGGTAAAACCCTGTCTCTACTAAAAATGCAAAAAATTAGCCAGGCATGGTGGCACATGCCTGTAATCCCAGCCACTTGGGAGGCTGAGACAGGAGAATACTTGAACCTGGGAGGAGGAGGTTGCAGTGAGCCGAGATTGCACCACTGTACTCCAGCCTGGGCAACAGATCAAGGCTCCGTCTCAATAAAAATAAAAATAAATTATCTGGGTGGAATGACACTGCCCACTCTGCCTTACATTAGAATGTTCCAGATGTCTCTGCAGGCTCATTGCAGAGGACACCATCCAAGAACATCGACTATTGGGAAGCAGGGGGTGCAAGCCAGGCAAGGTCCTCCCACCCTGGAATTCTAAGTGGGAGGTACATTAATAGCCATTGCAAGATTCATTTGAAATTAACATAAAGGCTTCTTTGAATATTTCCTCATAAGAACAGTTAATGAAAACATTTCCAATCACGGTACAAGACTCACTTGGGCAAAGATGCTGCCTCCTCTTTATTTCTTACAAGCTATAGGTTGTTAAAGTATTTAACCTTTCAGAACCTTAATTTCCTCATCTGTAAAATGGTGAAAACATTCCCCAACTCTTAAGAGTTCTTGAAAGGTAAAATAAAATAATGTATATAAATCTTGAAGTATTGGATCTGACAGAGTATCAATCATAATATTTTTTTAAAAATTGTGTTGAAGGATTCCCTTATGCCAGGTGCCATTCTCTGTAAGTTGGGGGTCTTTAACGTCCACAGCCACCCTGGGAAACAGATACTATGACCATGCCTATTTTGGTTACGGAAGGTGCGGGGTCAGAGGGGTTACGTAACTTGCCCAAGGTCACAAAATGAAGGCTGGATAAGAACCAAGGCAATCTTGCCTCCTGAGGCAGACCCGGCCTCCAAAACACTGCCTCTTTCTTTTGTCTAGGGATACCCCTTATTAAAAAGGCAGTAATGGGGTAGTCACTCATATTTCATAGGTATCATTTTGCCTGCTACCCGCTACAGGAATCATTTTTACCTTGCAAATCTGCAAGCTGTGAAAAAACATACTGCTTCTTCTAAAACACTGTTACTTTTCACGTGCTGTGTCCCAAAGCCAGGATGCACAACCTTTCTCTGGAGGGATCTTGCACCAAATACCCGAGGTAGCCCAAGAGAAAGAACAAGTCCCTGCAGCCGGCTGTTGCCGGAAGCCAAGCTGGAAAGCTCTCTAAGCCTTAGCTTTAAGTCTATAAAATGGTAAACCGAAGACAGTTGAAAGCCATTCCTGCTGGCCCTTGGTCTCCACTTCCATCCCCAGGACGGCCTGGGGAACCATACAGACGGCAGGCTCTTGTCTTCATCCCTGGCCCAGGCGCTTATTCGCACTGGGGGCGGGGGCTTCTCCAATCCTTCATAAACTGCCCACCAGCGCACTGGGCGCGTTCCCTCTGCCCAGTTGGTGCAGAGGGAAGACAGTCTGGGGAAGAAGCAGGAGGTGTCGGTACCGCCACCTGGAAGTGACCCCACCAGTGGTGCCCTCTTAGACAAGGCTGGCCTTGAGTGCATCACGTGCGGCTCTGGTCACTCCAGATGCCCAGGGAGAAGCGCAGCGCAGCAGGAGCAGCGCCTGGTCCCGGCCAGCTCTAGGGCGCACAGCTCAGAAATGTCAGAGCAGAAACGCTTGCCCTGGGGGAAGGGGCAACTCGCATGTGGAGCTGGGCAGCTGGAGCATCTGTGGAAGATCCAGGAAAGTGCTGGGGGAGCTGGCATGCCCGATGCCTAATTCCCCCGTGGGCCTGCCGCCTTAGGTTTCTCAGGAGCAGGGCTGAGCAGCTTGGAGCGGTGGGCTCTGTGGGAGCTCCAGGACTCCCCTAGCTCTCACCTCTCCCTCATCAGCGAGGGAAGGAGTGCTCCTTCTGCCCGCGGAAGAGGGAAGTGAGGGACCCAGGCTGCCCCTCTCAACTGCAATGTACCTCCTCCCCACTCTGGCCCGGCAACGCTACTCTCCAACCCTTCCTAGACATAAGGTTTCATTTTAAACCAGGACACCCATGCTGTGACTGTTACCCAGAGTTTCATTTCTTGTTTGTTTGTTTGTTTGTTTTGGTAAATCAGAGCTGCTCAATTTTTTCCTCCGGAGGTTACGGACTACATAGATTTCTTTTCTTGGCTCCAGATTGATGGTGGTGGG